CGTTGGGATCCGCTCCGGCTGCGGCGTCTCAGTATACCGCGAGCTGTAGCTCGCGGTATACTGAGCTTAGGGTAACGGGAGGACGCTAGTTTGTGTCCTCCCGTTACCCTAAGGAGAACTATGGGGAAAAACACTGACCCCATAGTTCTCCTTTAATGAAAGTAACAAAATAAGTCTGTTTGGCAGTACGGATGGAGGAGTTATATTTTAGGAGGGCAGCTTTATTCAGGGTAAAGTCTTGCAGAGACCTAGTTTTCCTCCATAGTCACTCAAGAGCGGGACTATGTCTTTTAAGATTTCTGGCTTCTTCTTGTGGACGCGGCCTAAGTCTGCGTGCACTGAGGGGAGTCAGTGTGTCTAGGGAGGATGAGAGCAAGCTGTTGAACACAAGAAGTTGCCAGGTCAGGGCCGGACAGAGGAGAGATTTTGTCCTAGAGTTAGTTAGTAGCAGTGTTGAGAAGAGTTTGTGGTCTGAGAGGGGAAATGGGGTGTTTGAGAGGTTGCAAGGTGTGCATAGGTGAGGGAACACAAGATCTGGTATGTTGCCATCAGAGTGAGTGGGATTGTCTGCCCATTGTGTTAAATCAAAATAAGAGGTTAAGTTGAGAATTGAGTGGTAGCTAGGATGTAAATGTTAGTAGCAATGGTATAAGTCACCAAGAATGATGGTGGGTATTTCTAAGGAGAGAAAGTAGGGTAGCCAGGCAGATAAGTCATCAAGATAGCGAGATACTGGTCCTGGAAGCTGATATATTACAGCAATCCTCAGAGAAACTGGAGAAAATAGGCAAATACAGTGGGCTTCAAAAGAGGAGAGGGATAGAGAGGGAGTTGAAGGCAGAACTTGAAAAGTGCATTGTGGTAATAGAAGGATTCCCACTCCACCTCCTTTGCATCTGCTGGGTCTGAGTAAGTGCGCCCAGTAGAAGTCACCATGGGAGAGGGCAGCTTGGGAGGCAGAGTCAGATTCTTGAAGCCAGGTTTCAGTAACATTGAGCATGTTAAAGGAATAGGAGATAAGAAGATCATGCTTGTTACAGACAGAGCAGGCATTCCAAAACTTACATGAGAAGTGAGGACTTGCTCTATGAGAGCACATCCCCAGTGTCCTGGAGGTAATCCTAGCATGTGGGTTCAGAATGAGCAGGAGGTGATGAGTGCAGTAGTAAGGAGAGAGATTGAAATATTTAATCTGTGAAGAGGAGGGGGGGTAAAGAAAATAAAGTTTAAGAAGAGAAGACACAATTGTGAGAAGCAAAGGTAGAGAAAGCATATGTGAAACAGATGTTACCCTTGGTTTTTCCTCTGTGCATTTCTAAGGCAGACTCAAACAAGGTATATGTAAACAAAGCAATGTGTACACTGGCTTGGGCCTGTGATGACAGTTCTCATAGCATTGGGAATGAAAAAGAGTAAATTGGCTTATATTTGCAATGTTACTTGGTGTCCCAGGAAATAATAAAAGATCTGTGTTATGTAAAGCTGCTAGAAGCGGAAATCCTTCCAGTTGATTTAGGTTAGAGCATATTATTTTTTTTATTGCTTTAAAACAGGGCCAATTGCATACTAGTTAATGGGACAGTGTGTCTTCATTGGAGGTTTGAATGCACTCCTTAATCAATATTTATCTCACAAAAACAGGAAAGAAAAACTAAAATTGACGTGTCCTTAAGCCTCTGCTAAACTACACTTGCAATCTGACACCATCAACATCTTGGCAAAACACCCATTTTAACTTAACCCATCCTTTTTAAAGTAGACCTATTATTAAAAGCCTATTATTAAAAGTCATATGTCAAAGAATCTATAAGGCACATTACAGTATCAAAAACAGTTTAATTTTGAGTACAAAAAGTATATTTTCTTAAATAAAAAATAGCAGATTCTAATCTCCCTCATGTAACCTAAAGCATCTGCAAAAATCACATCGCCTTTGGCTACCAGAAGTTTTTTTTGTGCTCCAGGTCATTCGACTACAGAGAACGTGTTGTTTTAAATGGTACAGAAGCTATTTGGTAGGGACAGCGAGCAAAGAGGGTCTGAAAAGTACACTATTGTTTAATACTGCTAAACAGGAAGCAAAGTCTGCATATGTAATAAGCAAACATGGCTTTATAAATGTACATGTATAGTTAAGAAATGTACATAGGGACAATGTAGGAAATTAATAAAAAATGTATGTGGCAAGTTCTATCTCAAATAAAATGATTGCCATAGAAACAACTTAGCTTCTATATTTTATTTTTTTCCACACAGCTTAGAAAAGAAACATTTAAACAGTAAATTATCTTTTACCCAATGTTCTTTACAGGACGGTTGTTTGCAGTTTCAGGTATTTCATTGGCACAATCTTCCAGCCTACTTCTTTATGTATGAAGTGTAAATTGTGCAGCGCTAAAGGTGATAATAAAATGAATATATGAATATATAAATATCACATTGTAAAATATATTATATATTATCACAATATAAATATAATTTATAATTCTCAGTGTATATAGTGCAAAAAATGAATCTAGCAATGGTGATGAAATAGAGTGGTATCAATGGATAGACCTATGACCTCCTGAGGACGTCTTTTCATGACGAAACGCGTCGGGGCGGGTCTATTCTAATTGATACCACGTCAAACCAGGAAGTAGCAGACGATTGAGATGCTACACTATACCGGCCGGTTTCTCGATTTTAAACTCTTAGTTTTTCTATGTTTTTTATAATAATAAACGTTTATGCATACCACACCATGAGGAGGTTTCTTTTATAATTATATAAACCCATAACGTACGGAACATTGCCGAAAGAGACATCTGGGATGTGGACCTTCTGATCTGGTATCTCTGCATTATCACCTCAGCAGTGGGGTCCATTAAGCGAAGGTAGTCTTTGCCTTATCTTTGTGTGCTGGTGGGCTCCCCTAGACATCCGCTGGCTGAATTTTGTTAGGAGGAGTAATTGTAGTCCAGGCTAGATAAGTTGATGCTGGGCATGTCTTCCTGCCTTCCCTCCATCCTTTGCATAAATATGAATGACAGGGCTGTGATCATTGCAAATAAGCTTCAAACCTTTTTACCGTCCTTGCTGACTCCCTATTACCAAGGCTTCGTGCGAAATAAACATTCGGCCGTGGGTGTACGCTCTGCAATTGCTCCGATTATCGCCTCGAGATGACTTAGTGCTCCTAAATCGATGCTTTTGATAAAATAGAGTGGCCCCTACTGAATCATATTTTATCTGTCAGATAATTTGGTCACATGCTCACTGCGTATATTCAATAAATTTTTGTAGCCCAGCTGCTAAACTTTTAATTAATGGCCAACTTTCCAATCCTCTATGTATGCACAGTGGTGTGGAATTCCTATCGCCCGGGACAGGCAGTGTCGGGAGCCGGTTAACCCCCCCCTCTTGTGACCACGGCAAATTAGATAAGAGAGCACAGAGCAGGGCAAAGAACGCTTCTCTGCTTGGCTCCGTGTAAATAATGACACAGGAATGCAGCCTTCCTGTCACAGGAGAACGAGCACAGGGCTGTGCTAGAACTCCTGTGTTGGAGGTGACAGGTCAATAAAGAGAACCTGTCACCTCCAAATGCTATCACAGAGGCTTGTTACCCCTTGTGTGATAGCAATAAAGTCAAGTGATTCATTTGCATTGATGTATTGGGCTTTTTTGAAGTGTCCCTCTTCCACCGAAGTTCCTTGCTAATCTCCAGCACTGACATATTTCTTCCTATTGATAAACATTGGTTATTGTTTGTTATTGTAACCTTTCCTTGATCCTCAAAAAAAAAAAAAGTGTGCATATTTATTGCAACTCTTCTGGCAGTCGGATTATGCCTGCACAGATGACTGAAAATTTGGTAACAATGGGTGGCTTTGGCAGAACTGGGTGCATTTAAATGTGTCTGTCCAGTTTTATGTAGGCGTTCTGAGGAATCTTGAAAAATTTAGAGGCAATACGCAGATTTATTCATGACTGTATATGGTTGATTGAAAAACAATCTATGTGGATTTGCCAGAAACTAGTGGAGCAGCTGTCACAAGAGGTATAACGTTGAAATGGTCTTATTTCTCTAACATTCATGGATTTTTCTCAGTTATATTATTATTTTCTTCCAGACATATATCTCTAACTCTTCCTGCAACATTCAGAGGTAGAAATAACACTCGACCAGACTTTGAAAACCAACAGTCTAATCTTTACGCTATCTCAGGTGAGTTTATCATTGACCTGTAATGATTTTAAAAAAAAAAAAATATTTTGTGATTTTTTTTTTTACAGTGACTTTTTAAGTTAGTTTGCTCTGCTTTTTCCACCTTCCTGACCTGTGTATTTTCGGTATACCTCCCGTAAAATAATACTTAAATCTCAATTTAATTTTTAGTTCCTTTCTCAAAGAGACACAGGTAGTCTTAAACTTTCAGGTTATACTGACACCTACACAAGGATTGGACAGACAAACAAAATATTGTAGGCCAGCCCAGGGTTACATAGTTACATAGTATTTGGGGTTGAATAAAGACATATGTCCATCAAGTCCAACCCATATAGGTCCACGCATCATCTCATTCTTACTGGTATCCCTGGATATTACGATCCCTCAAGAAATTGTCCAAACGTTTCTTGAACAAATCTACACTCTTGGCTGAAATCACTGCCAATGGCAATGAGTTCCAGACCTTAACCGCTCTTACTGTAAAGAACCCTCTTCGCCCATTGTGCTGGAATTTTTTATCCACCAACTTTAGGTGGTGGCCTCTAGTACAGTATAACACCTCCTACTTCCAGCATGTCTCAGTTTTTTGCTAGTGTCCTAGAAAGATGGACATCTTTTTGTCCGCTCTGCTGTTTAGCTCAGTTGAAGTTTAAATTTTAGTGTATAGTTAAGTGTATAGTTAAATGTGCAGAAACACACTGTCTTACTTTAATTTTTTTGCTTAAATTATCTCAAGTACCAGTGCATTAAAAAAAATCTATGACAATTAGCAATAAGCTGCACAAAAACACTCTGCATAGCATGGAAGCAGTTGTCTCTCTGCCCAGCAGTCTGACATGCCCCCTTCCCCTGCTAAGTGAGAGCTAGATCCCTCAGTCAGCAATGCTCAGCCTCCCTGTTAAATGATGAGCTCTAGCTCTAACTCAGCAGGCTCAGTTCAATTGGACCACTTTAGAGAAACTGCTGCTTCCACACAGAGAACAGTGTTCTTTCTCTGCAGTCTAATGGCAGTTATCATGCACTCCTACTGACGCTTAAACTAATGTAAGCAATAGAATAAAAAGTAAGACAGAACACTGTTATCCTGCACGCTTTGTTTACCTATACACTAAACATTTAAAACTACAGTTGAGCTTTAGCATGGTAAAAAGGGGTAGAATGGAAAATGGTTAGAATCTATGTTGGCTTTTAACTACTATACTTTTCCCTACTGGCGAGATATTCCTCTGCTTTCTGTATGGTCACAACACAGAAATTGAATACAGTCTCTCCAACAGGGATCCAGGAAGCTATTCCATATTGACAGAGTTTTGGATGGAGATTTGCCCTGTTTTGTTTCTTTGAGGAACATTAACATATCAAGATAGCCCAAATGCTCAATTAGGGAAGAGTCGGGCAGCACATCCCTGCCTCTGACTTCAGTCATATAGCAAGTGAGCAGCACCATGCACCAACCACTTTTTTCCCTCTCCAGTCACAAGTGAGATTGAAGATAAATGTGCTGAACCCCCCTGTTCTGCTGCCTCAGTTGTGAATTTCCTGTGCATTCCTACTTCCCAACAACTTCACTCTATCATTATTGAATATATAAGGGGAATACAATTCCCATTCAAAAATTTTTAAATGCAGTTGCTTGTACCTTATAAACCTAGTCTTAGAGTGGTGGGAAAATCATGGGACACAGTCTCACCACATATCTTAAATCTTTTTTTACCTATATTGTTAACCTGCTAGTTGCATTGTAAGCATTTGACTCAAAAATGCGGACGTTACTATCTGTCACAAATGACTGTCTGAAAAATCAATAGAACAGAAATAGGCAGTTATGCAAATCTCCATTTTTTTATGTGCAAGTCCCACTGAGCTAACCCTTTCCTGCTCTTGAAACCGCCCCCCCACCCGCTGGTAGGTTGACAACAGATTACATTAAAGCCCTGCAAACAACAGCTACGGATTGTGTAAGAGCAATGTATACAACAAGCATTTAAAAAGCATTTCCAACAGTTCAGCAAGCTTCAAGGAGCTTTGTTGAATCCCTTTGAGTAAGTTAAACACAGATCATAATGAAAGTGCTTGTGGTCACTTTAAACAAGGTGCTAGCAGGCTTTCACTACCTAAAACTTATTGAAAGCCATTAAAACCAGTCGACAGCTTGCGTGAAGTGACAGTGACCATTCCCATTATGTTCTTTAACATCTCCAAGAAGATTACTTTAAAGCCAAGCTGGACTTTTAGGTAAACTCAGCTAAATATATTTCAGGTGTTCTACATCTTAGTTTGTTTTCTTTAAAAAATGTGGCCACAGCCTAAGTAGAAAAGCCTGTCCCCTGCCAGCATGCAGTAGAGAAGGACCCTTGCTCTTTAGGGGAAACAGTGGTCTCTCGACAGAGCTCCAACACTCCCTGTGCTGATTCACAGCTGGAGCTCTTCAATCACAGTCCTGCTGTACAGCATGCTGACACGGGGCAGACTTTTCTACTCAGGTTGTGGCTGCTTTCTGAAGAAAGCAAACTTTAAGATTTTGATGCACCTGGAATGTATTTGGCTGTAGTTGGGCTTTAAAGGTTACCAGGCTGCTTAAAGGTTGCATATGACCTTAGCTGCTTATATCTCTGGATCACTGATTTATTTGGCATGCAACTCTTTTGGAGGTAATGTTTGAATATCCAGTTTCCCTTTATGTCCAATTTAAATGATCACAGTGGCCAGCGGGGAAATACTTTATGTGACATACCCAGAAATGTTTGATTTTAGTAGACCTGGAGCTAACCTAGAGGGTAAATATTCAACATACCACCCACCAAACAGGTAAGTATAAGGCCTCATTCACACGGGCATGGACAGCCATACAACGTCCACACCCCTGCAGAGTACTGCTCCTGGTTGGAGATGGTGGGTGTCGTGGTACAAAAGGAGAAGTATCTTCTGAGTTTAACAACAGTTATCTACATTCCAGTTAGAATTTTATTAACACTTCTATAAGTTCCCCATTAGACAAATGATTACAAGCCTAACACCATGCCCTCTTCGACCCTCACTGAGGCCCCGTTCCCACTGCGCGATATGCAAATCGCGCGTTTGTCGCGCGATTTGCATATTGCGCGACATCGCAAGATTTGCCGCGCGATGTCGCGTTCAAGCTTGCATTGAGCAAGCTTGAATCGCGGCTAAATCCGCTCCAAAAAGGGTCCTGCTGTAGCGACACACGACCCGCTACAGCAGGACCCTTTGCCCCATTGGATTGCATTGGAGCGCGATATCGCGCGGTAATTTGCCGCGATATCGCGGGAATTACCGCACGATAAATCGCTCAATGTGAACGGGGTCTTAAAGTGTATTTCCAATTTTACAATCAGATTTGAGAACCACCAGCTTTATGTTTGTTATGTGTTCATGCAGCAAACCTAGATATAATTTTAAAAATATATGTTTGACCTTGTTATAGTTGTTTCTTTGGAGCAGGATTATACATAGGACTCTATAGACAGATTCTACGGCTTTGTAAAGATGGCAATGTGCAGATAAGGGACAGGCTGGGAGAAACTGCATTAACATAAAATAGGGGGAATTTATCAAAACTGGAGCAGAAAGAATGTGTAACAGTTGCCCATGGCAACCAATCAGCGTCCCTCTTCAGTTTGCAGAGGTAAAATTTGAAAATGAGACTGAAAAGCTAATTGGTTGCAATGCAAATTTGCTCCAGATTTTGTCTGCTCCAGTTTTGATAAATTCCCCCCAATGTCTTGAGATCTTTAACCATTTGCTAGGACAGCCTGTGCACATCTAGTTAACAATAATAAAATCTGATAATGAAATCTGCCAACACAGTACCGACAGTAAGGGGAATGTATCAAAACTGGACCAGACAAACACTGGAGCAGTCGCCAGTGGCAACCAATCAACTTCTCTCTTCAGTTTGTTCAGTTAAGATTTTAAAATGAAAGAGAGAAGCTGATTGGTTGCCATGCACAGCTGCTCCAGATTTTGACTGCTCCAGTTTTGATAAATTCCCCTCAGTATTCTTAATGGCAAAAACAGATCCCTTCCCCTTTCGGCCATAAACATTACATCGCTAGTGAGAGTTGAGTAGGATTCTTCAGGTCTGGAGTTTTCAGTAAGTAGTATTTTTTATGCTTAAGTTATGCTATGTGAATGTGAACATGTAACAAATATAATGTAGGTGTTATCCCAGTTCGGCTGAAAAAAGTGGAAGTACACTTTCAATACACTTCTGTTTCTCTTCTGCTTGATGGTTTACATTATTTTTCTTGTTATTAGATGTTTGTTTGCAGTAGGCATCATCCTATATGTGTGTGTGATCTACCCTGTGCATTTTAGACTCCATCTTTGTGCATTTTGCTAACAGTGTATGTTTTTTTTTATTTACAACTATATGTAAATTTAATTTTACTTAGTGTAGGTTTTCCCCAGTTTTATTAGAAAAAAAATATGATTAATGGTAAGTGTCACTGTATACAGTCTGTCACCAAGTGTCATACCGGATAATGTCACTGAGTATAGTCTGACACCAACTGTCATACTGACTAATGTCCCTGTTTGTAATCTGTCACCAATTGTTATACCAACTAATGACACTGTATATAATGTATATACTGTATAATCTGCCACCAAATATAATACCGACTAAGGCATTGTATATAATCTGTATGCATTCTGTTCCTGACTGATACAATGTTTGTCGCTTCATACATTTTGTCAGCTTATTCTTACTTACTAATGTACCTATTATAATGCAGGCTATATATGACTACATATATGTACATATAATCTACATGACTCGGGTCATATATAGTGGTTAACCAGCTATCATAGCGACTAATGTCATGCTATATAATTACATCGAGCTTCATACCAACTAATATTCTATTTGCATAAGCTGTTAATAAGCATTCACAGACAAAAAGCACTGTATATAGTCTGTATACAATCATATTCAACTATCATACTGAATAATGACACTATATATAATCTGTCAC